TTTGTGGATGAGTGTGATACTTATTTCCTAGGATGAGTTGGGTATCATGTCTTGTTTTTCCATTATTTGAAACTGATTACATAATATGAAAAACATTTTTTCTTGAATATGTAGAAATATTGTTCAGTAAATTTGTTTACATCATGTTTGTTTTGGTAGATGAGGTATTTCTTTAATAATTTTCTCAATTTCCTTCTCCATCATTATGTTCATGTTTTCTACATCTTGTTTTGCTAATTTTATACTTATATTTTGTATTGTCCATTTGGCTAAATATTTTAAATTGATTATCATAACTAGTGCATCACAATTATTTATACTTTAAAATCCTTTATATCGATCCTTAAATCACCAGTTTTGTTTTTAATTTTGTTGATTTATACTCTTTCATTTATTACATTTCCAAGGATTTTAATCTATTTTATAATCTTCTCAGAGAATGAACATTTAAATTTATTTATGCCCACTGATTTTTTGTTTTCCAGTTTGTTTAGTTCTGTCCTTCATCTTTATTTTCCCATATGTCGATTCTCTTCTTTTTATAAGATTTTAAATCAAGTGCTTAGCTCACTTATTTCATGTTTGTAGACTGCATCCACGTCTTTACCGTTGGGCCCTGATTTGTTCATACCGCCCTTTGGTGGGTGGTGCATTCGGGTTTATCATATTCTCACCATGTTCTTACCTTCCTGCTGAACCCTGTTGCTTGGGAGAATTTTTCTGCCATTGTTAGAAGTTGTCACCCATTTACTTGTTTGTTGTTGTACATGTTTATTCTTATATAATTTTAAACTTACAAATATGTTAAAGGTTAATATGAAGAACTCTTGTACACCCTTTACTCAGATTTACCACTTGTTTACATTTTGTGCTTATAGTTTTCCCTAATTACTTTATCATTCATTCTCTCTCTGTATATAATTTTTTTGAACAATTGAGAATAAGTTGCAGATGTACCTACCTACCTAAATACTTTAATGTATATTTCTTGAGGCAGATAATTTCTGTTATTAAAATCAGGAAATTTAACAGTTATGAAAATATGGAGATTTTATATTGATCTAATATGATTATCTAATTCCATAGTCCATGTTCAAATTGTCAGTTATCCCAATATTGTGTTTTTTATATATAATATACTATATATTTATATATATAATTTTATATAATCTATATTTAACTTTATAATTAATTTAAATTCATATTTATCTTTAACATATAATGTATATATACTGTGCATTTCATATATGTGTGTGCGTATATATATTAGAGAGAGAGAGAGAGAAAGAAAGAGGGAGTGTTGAGAGTATTTTAGCATCTATAGTAACTATGACGACAGTGGCAATAACGGAAATGACTACGTGTTTACAGTTACCCCACCTATGGGGCACCCAATATATTATTTATTTGGTTCTAAAGAAGTTTATATTTGTTTTCATTGTACACTTATTGTATATTCATAGTAGAAAAATAAAGCGAAGTAACAAAAACCACCGGAAATTTCAGGGCATAGAGTAACCACTGTTGGTATATTTTCTAGACTTTTGCTTTCAATCAACAAAACTTAGGCTTTTTGTTTTGTTAAATGAAATCTGAGTACATTATAAATATGTCTTTCTACTGTGTGACGTGTGGTTTTAGCCGCCTTTTAAGTCTTAGTATTATACTATTTTACATACTTTATAAGTGGTATTGATAATAACTTTGCAAAGTAGAGCTTCATTTGAAGGTGAAGAATCCAAGATTCAGTGAGGTTCAAGAAATTACCTAGGTCACATATCAGCAGTAAGGCATAGAGTTATAATTCAAACCCTGCACTGTCTGTCTCCAAGCTATAGATGAGATCACTTTTTGTCCAAGGCTCCTTTCACTTTTTTACTTATATCGTTACCATTTAGTTTTATAGCATTGTGATAAGGAAATATATTTATATAATTTTTCTCTGACTCATTTTTGGTGCCTTATTTGAGAGGTACCGATGCCCTATACATTGAAAAAGTCCATGTGTTATTGAGTTGAATATATGTCTATAGTTCCAACTTATTAATTGTATAGTATTCATAACCTCTATGTAATTTAATTAACTCTTCCCATTACAATATTTTAAATGTATTCTATTTCTCTTTGCATTTCTAACTTTGGTCATCCATGTTTTTACTGTTGATTTTGCATTTTTCATTATAATCAAGAGCCTCTTTATGATCCCTCCATCTTTTGACTTCAAAAATCTCTTTTATATGATATCAACTTTTTTCTCTTTGTTGTAGGAATTTCCACAATAAAACTTTTATTTTGAACATTTCTGCATCTTTTTTGTTATAGATAACTATTTTTAAGCAACAAACATATAGTTGGGTCTTATGTGTTAATTAAAAGAAAAAAATTCTCACCTGAGGATATGTTTATTGATTTTAGAGAAAGAAAGGGAGGGAGGGAGGGAGGGAGGGAGGGAAGGAGGGAGGGAGGGAGGGAGAGAAAGAGAGAGAGAGAGAGAGAGAGAGAGAGAGAGATCAATGTGAGAGAAACATCCATTGGTTGCCTACTGTACATCATGCTGGACTAGGGATTAGACCCAAAATCTAGGTACGTGGCCTGACTGGGAATTGAACCTGCAACCTTTTGGTGTATGGGACGACACTCCAACCAACTTAGCCACTTGGTCAGGGTGGTCTTATGTTTTAATCAGTATGATAATTTGTCTTTTGAGAAATGAATGGCCTAAAAATAAGGACTCCACGGGGATGCAGATAGCATCATGATATGAGATGACCTCTCAGCTACTGACTGAACTTTCTGCAAGTTATATAATTTCACTGTGAGGAAGTTACCCATTTCCTCATCTGTAAAATTCTATTAATAAGAGTACTACCCACACAGACTTGTTGTGAAGACTAAATGAGATCAAGAACACCAAACAACAGAAGCATATTAAACTATTATCTGTAAAATGTAATTGTCATTGCTTACTGTTACTGGAAATATCATACAAAGCAAGTTTTTCATGGCAATAGTACATAAAGCAAGTTCCTTAAACCAAAGATCTGCTCTAGGTGGGGGTAATCAGCTCCGTACTTTTTCTAACCACGCCTTGGAGGTCATGGGAATAACTTACAACAAAGTTGCTGAGAAGCAGCGGTCCTGACCCCTCAGGTTTCAGTTCAAGTTGTCCGTCTCTGCTTCGGGCTGCATTGTGAGGTCTCACAGCTTGACTTAAATTCAGCCACGTCAAGAATCACTGCCTTGCTTCCCATTTAATTAATTAAGTGTTTGGTTTGCACAAATAAGTTGTTTGTTGTCATGATGGGTACTGAAGCTGCAGGCTTGGCCGGCTCATCTCAGCAGGCGTGGAAAAACCTGAAACTAAGAAAAACAAATCAAGCAGTGATGAATGTTTCTACTTCCTGGATCGGGTCACTTGCTCATCCAATGAAAGCCATCTGGTGAGCGACTGGACACGAGGACGGACTCAGCCCGTGGTTCTCCCTCTAGCCCCTGCACAGTTGGAACCTCTGCTCAATTATAGCTGCTAGAGAGAGAAACAGAATTCTTATTCACTTCGGCTCCTGAGGACCAAAGAGGGACAAAGAGGAAAGCTAAAATAGTCTGCAGTTTTAGCTAGAGCCCATTATTTTATTTTATTATTATTATTTTTTATCCTCACCCAAGGACACTTTTTGATATTTTGTTCATATAGAGCGGGAGGGCAAGAGAGAGAGAGAAACATCGACATGAAAGGGACCCATCGAGTGGTTGCCACCCACACGACCCAACCAGGGCCGGGGACAAACTGTAACCGAGGTACGTGCCCTTTGCGGGAACCGAACCCGGGTCTCTCTGGACTGCAGGCTGATGCTCTAACCGCTGAGCCAAACCGGCAAGGGCTAGAGCCCATTTTTAACTTTCCAAAATGACCTTGGAACCTTAATTCAGACAATGCTATATTACCAAACTGAAGAATACATAATCTATAATATTACTATCTGATGAACTCCAGAATGACATGGCTTATTTTTAGTTGATGGCTTCCAATGTCTGATGGCTTCTGTTTGACCACTCAGAGGGGGACGTGGTCCCCACCCGATGCAGTAGAGTGGCTTCCTTAAACTTCCCTGATAATCATCACCATTTTATTGCTTGTTAAACAGACTTCCAAGTCCCTTCCTGGAGATTCAGATGCAGTGGGTCTGGGATGGGACCTCGGATTTGAGTTCTTAACAATGGAAACGCTTTGGAAATATTAGAGGAGACTGAGAGAATATTCTGTTTTAGAATCAGCTTCAGGCTTAATCCTGGCTCTTTCACTTACTACTTATGTAATCTTGCACAAATTATTTAACCTTCCTTACCCAAATCTGAAAAAGTGGAGATATCAACCTCCAAGTATTGTGGAGCAGATTAGAAGGACTGAAGCCCTTTATGGCAGCCACTCTTCTGAGTGCTGCTAAATCTTTCTACATGGATTAATTGGAAGATTGTCCAGCTTCGACTGTGTGTCTGGGATTCCAAGCACCTCCCTGGTGGCCTGACCTGTCCACATGGCCCATCCCAGGCCTCTGGAGGGCTGCCCAGATGTCCGTGTGATGGACTTCACATAGCAGTCCCCTAATTATTCAGGGGGCTTCCCGAGGTTAGCTGTGCCAGAAATGCCAGTTTTCTTGAATCCAAACACACACACACACACACACACACACTTTTTCTCTGTAGTTGAGGCAATTTTCTCCCAGCTTTATTGAGATATTACTGACATATATTGTATATAAAGTTAAGTTGTACCATATGTCTATACATATATATTGCAAAATAATTACCACAATAAGGTTTGCTAACAGCTTCATTCCTTCACATAAACAATTTTTGTGCCTGTGTGTATGGTGATACAACTTAACATTTACCTCTTAAAAACCAAGTATATAATACAATGTTGTTAATTATACTTACCTTGCTATACATTAGATCCACAAATCTTATAGATAGAAGTTTGTACCCTTCGATCAACACCTAAAAACACAGGACACTTCCTGAATGTGTGTCATCCTTCAACAGGACCGTGCTCATCTTCCCTGCATAGTTCCAATTTTTATATATGTACTGCTAAAGTGAGCACCAGGTATATATATGTATTTTTTCTTCAATATACATCTACATTATTCCATTTGATTTTCACACAAAAATGTTCTATGCAGTTTTCCCTTCCTGGACAGAAAAGCATTTGTACTTTTTTCTTCCATCCTAATAGCCAGAATGCAATGGATTTCTGAGGAATATATTTATACTTTCTATTTATCCTTGCTTCAAAAGGATTTAAGGCAATTTATTAAAAAGGTACAAGACATATTAAAACGAAAATGTAGGTAGGGAAGATAGGGTGGGGAAAAGAAGGTGAATTCAGGAATGTGGTGACACGTCACATACATGATGCCTGTCCTTTTCACTCCCCAGTCGCGGGCCAGGTGTTTGGCTCTGAACTCTCAAGCCGTCACCGCAAACCCTCTGCAGACAAAACAGAAAGGTGATGATCCTCAAGCCGATAATTAAGGTGATCATCTCTACGAGTTCGGAACTTTGCCCAAGACTTTAGGTCCTCATCAACATTATTAGCGTCATTAAGAATGTACAGAGGGGACATGAATTGCTATGGAAAACTATGTGCTCTCCAATATTCCAACCAAATACAAAATGGATCAACGAATAAGGAGGACTCTTGCTGCAGAGGAGATGGTAGCTGGGTGGAAGAGGTGGGCTGAGGTTCAGCCAGCCCCGTAGTCCAGAAGCCATAACCATGGCAACAGTAGTGATGGCCACTCTACTCCAATCAGCAATGACACCCTTAAGAGGCACCAGCTAAGAGGTGAGCCTAGCCCTGGCTGGTTTGGCTCAGCAGTTAGAGCGTTGGCCTGTGGACCAGCGAGTCCTGGGTTCGGTTTCTGCTAAGGGCATGTACCTCAGTTGCAGTTTGTACCCACCCTGGTTGGGGTCATGTGTGTGGCAGCTAGTCGATGTGTCTCTCTCACATCAATGTTTCTCTCTCTCTCTTCCTCCCTCTCTCCTCCCTGCTCTATCTGAAGATAAATGCAAAAATGTCCTCGGGGTGAGGATAAACAAAAGAAAAAAAAGAGGTGATCCTGTCATACTCTGGGCTGGGCTCTTGGTGAGGGACGTTCATGTCATATTTATGCATTATCACGGGGTGAAAATAAACAGCCTCCTTCACCTTCACCTTGCAAACCCAAACCCACAAAGTAAAGGCAAGTGTCCAGCAGCACAGCCTGGCTGAGGCCAGGTGTGTGTCTCTTGGATGGGAAACCTGTAGCCTGCCTCGCTTTGCCTGTGGTTTATTCTTTTTACTTTCTAGTAACAGTGCTGCCCAGGACTTGCAACAAGCAAAGCCTGGAAGAGGATTGCTGCTTTTGAAGCCGCCACTCCCGTTTGCCTCGTTCATTTCAAACAGGTGGTTCGCAGAGAGATGAAGGCTGTGTACCAACGACAATGCCCACTGCATTTCTTGCCATCAGCTGTGATGTGGTGGCTTTTGATCTGCACAGAAGCTGCCTTGTTTCAGAAACGAACTGATGGTTCTTCTGAATGATGGAGGCAGCGAGAACAAACGAGCGGGTAAGGCAAAGCACTTCAAGAGAATGGGCTTGAAAGCGTTTAAAATAAAAGGTAAACACCAGCCTCAATGAAAGTAAAAGATTCCGAAAAGCGCCGAGTTGGTCCTGGTTGATATTTGTAGTTCCTGAGGATCTCCCTGTGTATGTGCAAACACACAGAAGCTCCTTGGAGACATCTGCCTTGGGATTTTGGACGTTTTGATGGAGGACAAAAAAAGTTAAATCCAAATAGATGTCATAAAGCAGGGAAATCTAATTGAAATAAAAAGTGCAGGTGGTCCGAGTTGGGTTTAAGGAAGTGGAGCAGGAAGCAGTGCATCAGAAGAGCTGGAAATGAGCCATCTCTGCACAGGGGAGGGAGTGTGGCTTCTCTTCGGAAAGGTCCGCAAAGTCCTGCAAAGGCTTATAAACACCAGGGCATTGCTCGCACCTGCTCTGTGTAAGCTCTGGGAGATGGGCCTCCTCTTTCCCCAAACCTTTGTTCTTCCCTTTTGCCAAATAGAAACAAACCAGTTAAAAAATGGCATGACAGTCCGGCCGGTGTGGCTTAGTGGTTGAACGTCGACCCATGCACCAGGAGGTCACTGGTTCGATTCCCGGTCAGGGCACATGCCCAGGTTGTGGGCCCAATCCCCAGTAGGGGGTGTGCAGGAGGCGGCCAGTCGATGTTCTCTCTCATCAGTGTTTCTATCTCTCGCTCCCTCTTCCTTCCTCTCTCTTTCAAATCAATAAAGAAAAAATATTTTAAAAAATATGCCCAGGGTGTATGAACGACAAGTATTCCCCGAGATTCTTTCCCAGTGCATGAGCCTATGCTATGGACTAAGTACAAGGCATATGACCTTGGGCCTTTCTTCTAACCTTAGTGATCTTCAGTTCACTCATCTTTATTTTATTTTATTTTTTTAAATTTTTTATCCTCACTCGAGGACATTTTTTGATATATTTTGTTCAGATAGAGTGGGAAGGAGAGAGAGAGAGACAGAGAGAGAGAGAGAAACATCGACGTGAAAGGGACACATTGAGTGGTCGCCACCCACACGACCCAACCAGGGCCGGGGACAAATTGCAACTGAGGTACGCGCCCTTAGTGGGAACCGAATCCAGGTCTCTCCGGACCACAGGCCAATGCTCCAACTGCTGAGCCAAACCAGCCAGGGCTGTTTGTTCACTCATCTTTAAAGTGGGGATAACAACACTTATGTCACTTGGTTTTATGAGGATCAGATTTGAGTGTGCATGTGAGCTTGCTTTGGACATTTTAAAAGACAGCTCTGGCCCTGGCCGGTTTGGCTCAGCGGTTAGAGCATTGGCCTGTGGTCCAGAGAGACCCGGGTTCGGTTCCCGCTAAGGGCATGTACCTCGGTTGCAGTTTGTCCCCGGCCCTGGTTGGTCGTGTGGGTGGCAGCCACTCGATGTGTCCCTTTCATGTCGATGTTTGTCTCTTTCTCTCTCTCTCTCTCTCCCTCCCACTCTATCTGAACCAAAAATGGAAAAATGTCCTCGGGTGAAGATAAAAAAAAAAATTAAAAAAAGACAGCTCTGGTATCATGTCAGAGCCCAGCTTGGTGCCTGGCACGTAGTAGGTGTGCTCACCAAGTGTTTGCTGGGCCGATGTGCTGTGCCAGCGTCCACATGCGGGTTGTTGGCGCTGTACCATGAGCGTGGGGTCTCGGCTGCTGTCTGACTAATTGCTCCATGTAGCCCCTACTCCAGACATAACTTAAAGGGTTTTATTAAATGCTTTTTTCTTGGCAGTGATGTATTGGGTACTGCAGCCTGGATAGAGAATTCAGCTTTTGTTTTGCATGTATTTTCCACTAAATATGCTGTGAAGAGGTGTCTGTTTTGATCAGGGACACTGTCAATTATTCCTCCCACCCGACTTCTCTGTGATTTAGGGTGTGAAGGCATCTGGCGGCTTTAACCTATCCCTGTTGTGGGAGATTTTTTGGCTCCAGTCAACAGGACTGTGTCCAAGGCAGGCGGGCCCCCTGTGAACTCCCAGGCTGCTGGATCCGGCCTCCGCCAGGTGACAGGTGGTGCCTTTAAGTCATTGTAGAATGAGAGGAGACAGTCGAAACTGGTTCTTTAAAAGCTTCCCCATGTCAGACATATCAGGGAAACTATTTTCTTCCTTCAGGCTTACCCCCTGTGACATTACCCACTTTCCCGCCTGCGCCCACGGCTGCATTGTATGCGTGGGTTCCGGAGCTCACTGCCTCTTGGCCTCTTGCCGCCGGACTCCGGGGCTGTTGCTGATTTCCTGACACTACGCTTTCCCTGGTTTTGGTCTTGCTGGGCTCCCTGCCACAGTGGATGTGAAACACGCAGAAACCCCGCTGAGGGCCGACAGCTTGGCATGTGAAAAAGACTTGTTTCGGGTTGCTCCCCGAAAGGAATTATACTGGAGTAGGACAGGGAAGAAGGGCAGGTTCTCGGGAGTTAAAAGGCATCAGGCTGGTGAGACTAGAGACACCGCTGTCTGGATGACTCACTGAGTAACAGGATGTTGAACATAATATTTAAGTACTAAGACGTAGCTGGTGTAACACTGATGAACATGGATGGGGAAATGTGGGGGTTGTTGACGAGAGAGAGCACCCAAGATGCGGAGAGGCAAAGAAAAACATCTTGATACGAAGGATGCAAAACCATGAGTTGGAAACTGTGGGCTTGAGTTGAAAGAATGGGCACCAGCATCGGAAGATGGGGATTTGAGACCTGCTCTCTCTCTTACTCTGTCTGTGATCCAGGGACCCCTTGGTCTCCTCATCTGTCAAGGGAGATGCCTGCACTTCTGGCCTCACAGGATCTAAAATGAACACGACAATGGCACAGACAATGCTACACAAATGCCATGTGCATTGACTTCCCCTTGTCGCGGTTGGTTTATCTCTGCGTGTCTGATGTATTGCACGGGCGAGGGGTTCTCCAGGTTCTGCGCTGTCACTGGTAAACCTGCCCCGCTCCTCCCCTGGGGCGATGATGAGAGTTACAGGCATGGCCTTGAGGAGGACAGTCCTTAGACAGCTCTTGGTGTGGGTCACAAGGGCTTCCCCCACCCCAACTGATGGCTCAGAAGTTTACTTGGAAAAAGTAATCAGCTTCTGAGGAGCTGGATTAAAGACATAGTCTCTCTGGTCAGCATCTCAGACATTCCTAGAGTTGGAAGGAAACCCAGATGGTGCCTACTGGACAGCCACCAGGTCCTGAACCCTGCTGGTAAGGGGACTCCGGCCTCAGGATCATCCCTGCTGGACATCTCTGGTCACCTCATAAATCCTACTGTGAGGTCTCATCCTCTAGGTAACCTCATCCCATGTCTGTCCGCAGACCCCAAAGCACATACTGATGCCCTTTTCCATGTGATGATGTCAAAATTTGCCCCTTTCTTTTAACATTTCTGGATCTCTTCATTTGCTTCTGCTGAGACACTCTCTTTTAGACATATTCAAGTTTTCTCATTTAATTCTTTTATAGATTTTTCAAA